CGGGTAGGGGCGCGGTCAGCTGACCGGAAGGGGCTTCCTTCGCGTCCTCCTTGACGACTGGAGGAGAAGGAGGAGGCGTTCGGCCATGGAGCGCTACGAGAAGGCCGCCCTGAACGCGCTTTCGCCGCCCGAGGCCCGGTGAGGAAGGGGAGCCGGAGGTGGGGAGCCGCGCTTAGAGGAGCCTCCAGCCCAGCCCTCTCCTTTCCTGGGCGCAGGGAAGGAGGAATCAATCCGCGTCCCTGTTTCAAAATGGGGGACCCCCCCAAGGCTGAGGCTTCTTCCCGGGCGGGAGGACGGTTGGGCGGCTTGGAAGGAGGAGTGGGGATTTAGCAATTATCCCAGGTTGTAGGACAGCGTAACTTACGGTATTCTGAATATTAGGACCGTTTTCTTAATGAGAAGAGCATCTTAACCCGGTGGGATCATAGGCCTGCAGAGGTCGTGAGCTCCCCCCGCTTCTGCTTTAACGAGTTGCAGGCTGATGCTCTGGGAGCATCTTGCAGACGCCACACATTTTGAATTTGAAGGGCTCTCCAGCCTTACCAAATGACCTCTTCCAGCTATATAATTATATATGCATATACATACTGCATACATGCACTGTATATGATAAAGTAGGGCGTGGAATGGAACAGAATGTTTTCTTATATTGAAAGAAAAAGGCGGTAAGAGGTAAAGTATGCTGTGTGAAATAGTAACAGAATAGGCTGTGTTAAAACTTGTTTTTAATTATGTGCATTTGTAGCAATTCGAACTGAGAGATAGTAAATAAAGTTTGTATAAAAGGTCTGCAACTTTTCTGGGCTCAGAAATGATGAGCCAAGGTCACTTTGTGAGGTTCCTGGATGGATGGAGGTTTTGAATCCAGATTTTTCCAGCCCTGGTCTTATACTGGGATATTTTTGAGACCTAATACTGGATCTTTCAAGCCGTACCAGGATACTTTCATTTTTAAGCAGAGGACAGCCAGTTTGGGTCAGTTTTCACCATATGTAAAGACACTGATTAATTCCTGTAGATTCTGAAATTCAAGATTGGCTATGTTAGTTTATTTTGGTATAAATAAACTGCTTGGCTAACTCAGTGAAGCAAGTATCTTCTAGCGGGACCTAGACAGAAATTTGCTGTGTTGGCCATTTTATTTTGAATATAAAAACTGAATTATTGACTTGAGTAGCAATGAAAATTTTGCTGTCAGATTGTAAATCTCTTTGAATTTGCTGTAGCTTTCAGTATAAATTCCAATGCCTAATTGGATGCCACTAGATAACTGTCACAGTGCAACATGAAATTATTAGAAGCAAGTTAAAAGTTAATCTTTATGACTGCAGAAAAAGTATTATTGACTTAAATAGAAGTCGTTAATTATAAATTGACTGCATATAATTTCAGTCTTGTCTCATCAAGCAATTTATAATAGGTGCAATTATTTAAATTTTCCTCCAGATCTCATGCTTAGAATAATTTTAGTGTCAGAAACATATCCTCACAAATATTGAATTGCATATGCAAGAAGGTTTTTCCATCAGATTGATTAGAGATTCTTGTTTGCACATGGAATTTTCCTATGGTGTTAAATTGGCTGTGAGATTTGTTATCCTCATTGTATTATCTGAATTCAGGCTTTTTTTCCTGCCTGTCTAAACATGTGCTTATTAAAATGCCGGTGATCAGCTCACATATTTGCCCTTTGTAATGTTTAAATAATCAATATCTTCTTAATGATACTTGATCTTAAGTACTAAAGGCCAGAACTTCTGATCACTTACTCAGCTTTCAGAAATTCTGGCCTTTAGTACTTAACTTCATTAGACACAGAATTTCTGGGTTGGGGTAAATGTGAACTTGATTTTAGATTTGGAAAATCTTTTCACTTGTAATAATGCAATATGATTTGTACATCTCAAAACACACACATTAATTCAATTTAATTTGCTCTGCCAAAAACATTTGCCTTAAAACGTTTTAATCTATGGTAGATGATAACTGATAGTGGCATGATTCAACCAAATTTCTTAATAATCTTTTAAAAAATTGAAATGTTCTTTTATAAAGCAATTGCTTTGCTATGTTTGATAGATGATTCTTTTTGTTTGTTGTGACTTGTTTTTTGTAGAAGTGAAAGTTCATTAGCCTCAACGCTAAGGACACTTCTGTTCTTCACAGCTTTAATGATTATGTTACCCATTGGATTGTATTTCTCAACAAAGGCATATTTATTTGAAGGTAATTGTTTTATACCTCCATTTTTATCATTGCCTCTCTCTCCTCAATACATTACTCTCTTCTTAATACATTATAAAGAATGTATACCTTATTACATGGTGGTAAGCATCTGTTCTTTTTATTTTTGAATGATAAAGTTTTGAAATACAGTGGTACCTCGGGTCACGAACGCTTCTGTTCACGACCAATTCGGGTCACGAACAGCTCCGTATGCAAAATTTTGCCTCCGTTCGCGAACGCCGGATCAGGTGACAAACAGGATCTGCGGCCATTTTCCCTCCCGTGACACGTGGTCGTGGCTTCCTGTA